TGTTAATATTAAACAAAAACCTTCAATTTTAAATGTCACAAGACAATTATTTTTTAAATTTTTATTTATTTACTTTTTTGACCGATAAGGGGATCGCAACCCTCAGTACGGTGTGGTCAGCACCATGCTCAGCCAGTGTGCGCACCGGCCATCCCTATAGAGGATCCGAACCCACGGCCTTGGCGCTACCAGCACTGCACTCCCCCGAGTGAGCCACGGGGCCGGCCCTAGACAGTTTCTTCACTTCAAATGAAGCCGAATTTAAAAATTTGTGCAAAAGGAGATCTTTAAATCTGACTTTTATCTCATGACAGCCATGTAATCATTTGAAATATAATGGAGAGTCTAGCTTTTACGATATATGGCTCAAGTTTTTTGCCTAGATCTATTTAAAGAAAAAAAAAATGTAACATTAAATAAAAACTTTGTTTTAAATATAAAGACATTTTTTCTTAAACATCAGTTCAAGTGAAGCTGAATGTAAAAATATGTTCAAAGGGAAGTCTTTTATCTCATGACAGTCGTGTAATCATTTGAAATATATCTGGTGTCAAAGAGAAATTAATACTTTAGTACAAACAGGAAACTTTGAACATTATCGTTGAGAGTACTAACAAACATTTTCACTATTAATATTAATTAAGAAGTAGTCTATAACCACAGATTGGAATGATCACTGCAAACTGCCTCATTTTAGGTTTTTCCTGTCTCAATGGAAGGCTTTGGGTTTTTTTGGTGGTATTTGTCATTTTTCAAGCTTATATCTCAAAAACAATATTTTCTATATATATCCTTGCATTTGTCTAAAGAACATTTTGTTCTTTATGGCTAATTACATAGCAAAAATTAAAAATATTTTGGCTCATAGGCTTAAAGCCGAGGACTAGGTAGTACATTAAAATACAATCATGATAAATTATATCATTTATGAGGCATATGTGATACTGCTTACTAGGCCATCTAATATGTCAGGGGTGTTGCGGAAGATGTATTAGTCTTTTTTCAATTGCAAATTATAGAAATAAAGATGAAATAAAAATTAACTACATTAGTTTACATAACTGGGAAGTATCTATGACTGATTTTAGGTATTGTTAGATTTAAGATCTCCTATGTTACCATGTTGGTCTGTCTCTGTCTTTCTGTGCACCTCTTCCCTCATGTTTCTCATCCCCACCCCTGGCAACGCGCGCACTAGCACTCTCACATAGGATGGGCAAGAAGGGAATGGAGGCAGAAGACTGTTCTGGCCCATTTCTTCTTTTATGTGGGGCATAGAGTTCCCTTGTAGCTGAAGCCAAATAGTCCAATTATATATAATTTTTTTTTTTTTTTTTTAGTATCAAGAGCCCACATCTTATAGAGATAGAGGATGAGCCTCTTTCAATGACATTACTTTCTCTTGGGCCACATGCTCAAGTAATAACAGGACTTGTTTAGTAGTATAGGCAGCAGGTCACTTGGAGTAGACCAGTTAGAATTCAGCTATAAAGCAACAGGTAGGGTTCACCCCTATAGGAGTTGGTGAGCTGCTTTTCTTAGGGATTATTTTATTTTGAGGGAAGTGTATATTTTATATGGCTCATACATATGGTATGTAAAACTTATACGTAGGGCAACCGTCCTTCCTTCTTTTCTCTGGTCACCCCTGTTGTCCTGGTAAAATTACTAATAGTATCACTTTCATTTTTAAAAGTTATTAGTTTTGATATAACCCTAGTTATTCTTTTGATGTAGGATGTGAGGTATTTTCTATTTCTCAGCTTTTCCTGTATAGAGAAACCAAGAATGCTGACTCATTTTACCTTATCTGTGATGAGAACTGAGAAACCTGCAAAGTCATGAATTGTTATGGTTGCTTTAGAAGTTCAGTGGCCGGGAGGGATCTCTCACAAAGACTTAAAGGAGCTTCCTGGGGTTGTTATCAGCATCTCTTGACTGCTGGGGCCCACCAGTTTCTTAAGGATTGTGTGTTTTGAATAGCCAGTCAGTGAGGGTGATCCTGACCTGTTAATCTGTAAAGCCTTGTGCAAGATTGAAGCACTTCAGGGTACTTGTAAACTTTTATATTCCAGTAGTTTCCCTAATTTCAGCAAACAGTGATTTGTGGAATGTTGTTTTAGACCAGCCTAGTGGGCTAGACCATGTCAGGTCCAAGTTACCGAAGAGCACAATAAACATACAAGTGTGCGAATCCATTAGGATTTGGCACAGAATGATCCATAAGGTTTTCAGGCTGTGGCGATCTTGGCTGAGGAGAATGCTAGTCTGTGTCTGAGAATTCAAGCAGGTAGGCCAAAAATTTGGTTAGATGATTTATCAGGTTGAAGGATAAAACAAGGTTCGGTACTGGATGGTTAGGCATAAGGCATGAATGTAGATCAAAAGGACAGTTCTAAATCCAAGAATATGGTCCGTCTATTGTTGTACCCTTCTTAAATACTCTGTTGACCTAGCAACATGGTCTTAAAGGGTTGAAAGAATGTTAGACAGGTCTGCTTTTCCTTTCTCGCCTTCCCTATTGAAGTAACTTATTGAGTAGCTACAGTAAGGGAAATGGTAGGAAACAAGAGGACAGTAAGGGAGATAGTTCAACGATGGGAAAACATTTTTTTTCCTGGGTTAATGAAGTACATATTCAGAAAAGTGAAATATAGGTAACGTGGAATATATATTTAAATATTCTTTTGTTTTTTAATAAAATACTTTAAATTTAGCTTTTATGTATAAATTTGACTTTGAAATATGATATTAGCATCTTGGTTTGAGTTTAGAGGGAACAAAGCTTGTTTAATTATTAATCAAGTCTTACTGAAATTTTGTCAGTTTCTCATCTACCCATTTTTCACAGGCTTGACACAACTCTCATAGACTTTACTGATATGAAGTGCCAACGAGGGGATTTAAGCTTCATTTTCAATGGGGATGCGACACCCTCTGAATCTTTTGTAGTGTTAGACAATGAACAAAAAGTTTATCAGCGAATACACCATGAGGTGAGCATGTTGACTTATCAGTATTCTTTTAAATGGTTAAAAAAAAAAAGTGCCTATTTATTTAGCCAACCCTCAATGTAATTGCTTTAAAATCATAAGGTATAATTGAGATGGTTTACTCCCAAAACTTTATCTCTGTATCACTAGCTTTTTTTTTTTTTGAATTTCTGTCATCTGGTCTCCATCCTTACCAATCCATTGAATCTGTTTGCTCAGAATTCACTGATTCATCTCCTAGATCAATGAACTCCAACTTCTCTTAGTTCTCATTTGTAGTTTCCCTTTGTTGACCCTGTGCTGGCTGGCCCTTTTACCATATATTATCTTACTACCTTAGCTTCTTTTAATGTTGCTGACGATCTTTATCTCCTTCAGATGAACACTTCTGTGTACTGCTGTGTCTGCACCTTTTACTTTGCCTAACTCTTTGGATACCTTTCCTTTCTCTCTCCTTTCTCTCTTATAGTACATTATTATCTTCCTTCTGTCACATCATATCTTCATGTTGGAATTGCTTCACAACCGCCATTGGAAAACAGTATGCACCATTATCTTTATCCTTTGTTTTTTTCCCCAGCTGTAAACCAAATAAAAAGCTGTTCTAGTATCTATATGTCATTGATAACCCTACAGAAGTTTTTTAAGTCAGCATCTTTTTGCTGCTGTTGTTTTTATTTTGTCTTTATTTTTTCATCACTTCCTTTCCCAACATTGTTATTTACCACATCTTGTGGCTTCTTCCTCAATATCTATTAGATTAGATCTTCCTACTGCCAAATCTGTTGATAAGACGTTATTGTTATATATGTATACGTACCATTGAAATAAATAGTTTCCTAACTGGCACTGAACAATGAAGATTTAGATTGGAAGAGGAGAAGACAAAAGGATATTCCTTGTGGAGGAAACAGGATGAATAAAGTCAGGGCAGTAGGAATAAGAATGGACTGTTTGGGATATAGAAAGGAATTGTGTGATTGCAGTGAAGGTTTCTGTTATTGGGGCTGGCTGGTTAGCTGAGTTGGTAGAGCATGGTGCTGATAACACCAAGGTTCAGGATTCGATCTCTGTACTGGCTAGCCACCAAAAACCCAAAAATTAGAAAAAGAAAAAGTTTCTCTTATTGAGCATGAGAAAGTTGTTTATGGAAGGCCTTAAAAGCCAGATAAGATAACTTAGGATCTGCTACAGATGGCAACAGCAAGTCATGGATTCTTAAACAAGATATTGATTTGATCAAAAATTAATTTAGGTGAATTAATCTTAGGTATTCTTTTTATTTTCCTTCCTTCCCTTCCTTCCTCAAACATTTATTAAATACCTAATAATGCTAGACACTGCTAGGTGCTATGGATAGTAGTAGTGTATTTATATTGTATATCAATTACTATCATATATTGAGCTTTAATTACTGGCACTTTGGGATTATAATCAAGTGCTTTCTAGTTCTCCTCATTAAATCTTTAAAATAACCTGCCAAATTAGGTAGTACCTGGATTTTACAGATGAGAAAATTGGGGCTTGTAGATGTTAAATGACATCTCTAAGATCACATAGCCATTATGCAAGATGAATTGGAAAAGGGAGAGATTGGAGTCAGGGAAATTATTTGAGAAGTCTTTACAGTTATCCAGTTGAGAGGTGGTGAGGATTTTGGATGATCCTCATTCAAGATGATGAGGATACTACAGTGAATAATGAAGAAAGCGAAATTATGACACACATTTTCAAGAATGAAATTATAAGATTTGCTAGAAGTTTGAATGTAGTGAATTAAGAAGAGGAAAGATTTAAGGGTGAGTGTAGTGATGCTAGCTTGAAAAGTGGATGATGATGGTAGTACTGCTGATGGAATTGAAGAAACATTTGAAGATTGCGGTTTAAAATGATACTCATTTTGAGTCCATTGCTAAAATCTGTATACTTGTTTCAGCCCTCTCTTTCTTAGACTTCTCTGAGGTACTTGCTATTATTGGGTAACTCAGTTCTTGAAATTTTTATTTCTTTTGATTGATCTGTGGCCAGTTACTCTTTTCCTATGTCTCCTTATTTTCTTTTGTCTATTCCTTTTTCTCTATTTACTTCTTAGATATTGGTATGCCCTTGATGTGGTTCTCATTTTTTTACAAACTGCCAGAATCATCTCTTTCATTTCCACAGCTTTAACTACCTCCTGTGATAGGTTGATGATTCACAAATACAGTTGTCCTTTGGTATCCATGGGGGATTGTTTCAAGTACCCACCATGGATACCAACCTCCGTGGATTTTGTATTTGCATATAACTTACGCACATCCTCCCATGTAGTTTGAGTCATCTCTAGATTGCTTATAATACCTAATACACTGTAAAATATACATAAATAGTTGTTATGTTGTATTGTTTAAAGAATAATGACAAGAAAAAAGTCTGTACCTGTTCAGTACAGACACAACCATCTGTTTTTCCCCCCCCCGGATATCTTCTATCCGCGGTTGGTTGAATCCACTGATGTAGATACAGAGGGCTGACTGTATATATTTGAATCCTAGACACCCCTTACAAGTGGAGACCTATTTGTTTAAATGCCTAGTGGATATCATGCGTATCTCCTGGTACCTCACAATTCACCTCAGTTAAAACTTAGCTCATTGTTTTCCCGCCAAACCTGCACTCTTTCTCGTTTTCCTTCTTTTGATGAATCATGTCATTCTTCAGTCAGAAACCTTGGAGTTATTTTTGGCATCTTTTCTTGTACTACATGTTTCCTAATTAGAGAACATGTCTGGTCATTTCTGTATCGTTAATGTCATATAATTATCCCTTTTTTATTCATACTGCTCCTACCATAATTTGGATATTCATCATTTCTCCACTGGACTATTGCAAAAGTCTTAAAAATGTTCTTCCTGGCTCCCTTCTTGTCTGCTTCTGAATTATCCCACATATTGGAGATATATTGAACTTTTAAAACATTCTTGATAACTTCCTCTCTTAAAAACACTTAAAAGTTCTTTACCACTGCAGAGTGAAATCCAAACTCCTTAGACTGGCACAGTTCCTTTTGTGACCTGGCTTTTACCGTTTTCTTTTTAGTCTTTTAGCCTTTTAGCCTTTTTCTTACCTTGCTATTGTAGATACCCTCATACTGAACTCTGCAATTTTTCAGATCTACCTGGCTATATAATGTTGTTTCTTTGTTCATGTTGTTTCTACTTCTTGGAATGCCCCTCTTCTTGTAGTCCCTCACTTGTAAAGAACTTACTTAGTGTCACTGCCTCCCCTGCCAAATGACCATTGTTTTCTTTATGTTCCTACTAAATCCGGAACCATAGAGCTTCTATGCTGTGTTTGTTTATATGGCTTTCTCCCACTATCAGGCTAAGCTCCTCAAGGGCATGGGTTTGTTTTAGTTGTGCTCTCTGGTACCTAATATAGCATCAGTACATTCTAGGCGACAGGTTGGCAAACTTTCTGTAAAGGAAGATAATACATACTTAGATATTTAGATATATTTGTGGGCCATACTGTCTTCTTCACAACTACTCAGCTCTGCTATTGTTAGAATAAAAGCAGCCATCGATAATGTGTAAATGAATGAGCATGGCTGTATTTCAACATAATTTTAATTATAAAAACAAGTGGTGGACTGGATTTGGCCTACTGGTTGTAGTTTGCTGACCCCTATTCTAGACTCTCAGATATTTATTAAGTAATTTGACATCTTGCATATTAAATGAGAACAGGATAGACAACTAGGCAACAGGTGAGTTAAGAAATAGGACACAGAAAGAGATGCCAGAGATTAAGCAGTGATAAGTATTAGCTGATGTTATAGTATTGATAACATCAACAAAGAACTGATATTTTGAGTAGTTGTGTGAGTATTTTATAATGACTAATATAAAGAAAAGCTAGATTTTGAGCAACAGTCTTTGGGCAGAGTAGTTTACCCTAATTTTGCTTATGTAAATAATAACTGTTCATTAAATGTTTGTTAAAGGAATGTAATTAACAGCAGGTCTTTTTCAATTACTTGGTTAGGAGATGGTTCAGTCTCTGATTTATAGAAGAGTTCTGTTCCAAAGTTTATTTGAAAATAGGGTGTTTGAAATGTGAGGCAATTTCTTCATAGACAATGTGATGTACAGTGTTCAGTTCCCAAGCTAATTTATAAAATTCTGGTTGATTCTTAATGTATTTGGAGTATAATGTTTAACAATTCTGTTCAACCCACTCAAGCCCAAGTTTTTCTTGAGAAAATTGTACTTAGAATTAGTTTGGGTTACCAGGAATACATTTTCACCTGTTATAGTCTTAGCAGTCATGTTAAGATTTTATATCCCTTACTTGTAAGGTTGGGGGAAATGGTACTGTTCCAGTCCAAGGCTGTTGCTGTTGTTTTCTATAGTCTCAAAAAATTCAGAAAGGTACTATATGTAGGTGAAAGTTTAGCGGTGAAGAATAAAAAAGGGGTCTCTTGGGAACCTAGAAATAAGGAGGTATGGAGAATAGAGCCCTTGGCCATTGAAAACCTTATGGACAACTCTCATTGCACAAACAACTCTAGATTTTGGTTTTTTCTGTCCTTTATAGGGTCCTAGATATTAGACCTATTGGCCTATTATGGAATAGAATCTCATTTTATACTGCCCAGTTTACTCTTCTCTACCTGATCAGTTAGTCTTCTTGTCCCTGAATTAAGCACGAAGCTTTCCTTTTTTCACATTTAAAAAATAATTCTGGCTCAGTTATTATAAGCCAGCACTAGGGAAAATGTAGAGGATAAAACCTGAATCAAGGTCACTTATTAAGTTTAGAAATCATGAGATATTCATGGATTTTTTTCCTTTCTGTAAGGTTTATAGAAAAGAATCCTTTCCACCTGCTTTCCTTCTTTCCCTCCCTTTGCTTCCCTCCCTCCCTCCTTATCTTTCTCCCTTCCTTCCACTTAGAATTTATTGGGGAAGAAAGGCTAAAGTGACAGTGGTAGATCTTTAGGTTAAAAAGAACTAAAGTAAGATTCATCTATTTTAAAGAAAACAAAACCTTCATATAGGCATTTTGTCTCAGGTCTGTCAACTCAGTTCTTAAGGTAATCTTTTAAATTTGCTCTACACACTATGTAGTTTTGTAATAGGTAATCTAGTACTGTTTCTATTACATATCTATAACAGTGTGAGAGTATTGTATTTCATGTGTCCTGCTTTTTTAAAATTTATGATTAGTAATAATTCTAACTTGATATATGAAATTTAAACATCTAATTGTCTTTTAGAATAAGTAGTTCTTCATATTATTTAGAATCTGTCCTTTTGTCTTTTGAAATCTGTAATATTATAATTGTTGGTATTTTTTCATATGTAGCACTAATAACCTTTGAAAAACCTAGATTCTTATATTTAACTTTTGCCCCCACCCCAGGAATCAGAGATGGAAACAGAAGAAGAGGTTGACATTTTAATGAGCAGTGATATTTATTCTGCAACTTTATCAACCAAATCAATTTCTTTCACGCGTGCCCAAACAGGATGGCTTTTTCGGGAAGATAAAACAGTATGTGCAAATCTAGATTCTTGAACTTTAAAAAACTGTTTGGTATTTATGTCACCAAAATAATGTGAGGGAAATATGAGAAGTAGTAGGTTACTGAATTATCTTCAAGTAATTTATTGTCTTCCTTGAATCCGGATATAGAATTATAATGGTTGGTTACAGAAAATGAATGTATCTTTGGAGAAGCCAGGACAGAAAGTTTACCACATCTGAATTCTTTGTTGGGAAGGATTCTTGTTGTTAGTTGCCTTGTTATTATACAGGGAACAGTCTTTTCACATGAGTCCATTATATTTCTAATGCTTTATTCCATAAGAAAGCTACAAATAGGGATATACTTCAATTCATTTCCCTGGATTTTTTTTTTCTCCCCACTTTTATACTTCTAAATCATTTACTCAGTATCTGTTTCTCAGTGTTCTGTGTGTAGGACTAAAATTAAATAAGCTTACATTGCTACAACACTATCGTTAAAGCAAATCTCAGTAGAAGTTTCCCTATTAGTGAATTGTAAATTCTTTCTATAATTACCATTGCATCTGTCAGCAAGAGGTTATAAAAGACTGCTCAAAGATATATTTTAAAATTTTTGAATGAGATACAGAGGAAGCACTTTTATAAAATTAATTAATTTAGAAATAAGGAACTACATCAGGTAAAGGCCAAGATTTACTGCTTTTAAAAATTATATTTATTTTTATTACACACCATAGAAATAAATGTGTTCTTGTTGGAGAAACAGACAAAAAGCCTGTATTAGTCAGGGTTCTCTGAGAAAACAAAACCAATAGGAGATAAAGAGAGAGGGAAGAGAGGGAAAGAAAGGAAAAGTAAAAGGAGAAGGTGAGGGAGAAACTGACTTATTGTAAGGAATTGGCTCATGTGATTATAGGAGCTGGCAAGTCTGCAATCTGTAGAGCAGTCCAACAGGCCAGAAATTCAGGGAAGAGTTGGTTTAGTCTTGAGTGAGAAATCTGGAGGCTGGAAACTCAGGCAGAGTTTCTGTGTTGCAGTTTTGAGGCAGCATTGCCTTTCTTCTGGAAACCTCAGTCTTTGCTCCTAAGGCCTTCAACTGATTGACCGAGGCCCACCCACATTATGGAGGATTCTGCTTAACTCAAAGTCTACTGATTAAGTGTTAATTACATCTAAAAAATACCTTCACAGCAACAAATACACCAGTGTTTGACCAAGCACCTGGGCACCATAGCCTAGCCAAGTTGACAGATAAAATTAAGTATCATACAACTTTACACATGAAGCAAAAAGGTCCCCCTTGACCACTGCCCACAATCCCAGAGCCCCTTGCAGGTTATTCATTTGTATATCCTCCAGACCTTTTTATGCTTTTCATGTACAAATATGTATTCATAGTAATATGTAGCTTTTCATTGTTGATGTTAATTTTTTCATAAGTGTCATATTCTATCTATTGTTTTGCAAGTGGCTTTTTTCACTCTTTAGTGTGTCTTAGAAGCCTTTTCTTATGAATTCATATAGTACCACTTCATTATTTTTAGCAACTGCATAGTATTCCATACTATGGATATATTTTAACTTACTTATCCAGTCTTTTTTTTGGACATTTGGATGAATAGACACGTGTTTTTGTCCAGTTTTCTGCCATTATAAATGCTGTTGTGTTTATCATCCTTTTACATAGATTTGCATTATCTATTTTAGGTAGCAAGAAATTGAATGGCTGGATTATGGGGAATATATAAGGGTACTTCAAAAAGTTCTTGGGACATTAAGATAATACAAATCTTTCTGTGAACTTTTTGAATACCCCTTATACACTTCAAATTGTTATTGATATGATAGTTTACATTTAATAAGTACTTTTTAAAAAAATCCTCTGTACTTTTCAGTGTTTTATAATATTTTATTTTTATTTTAAGGTTTCAAAAACTAATATTTAGGGCCGAGCCCGTGGCGCACTCGGGAGAGTGCGGCGCTGGGAGCGCAGTAACGCTTTCACTGTGGGTTCAGATCCTATATAGGGATGGCCGGTGCGCTCACTGGCTGAGCACGGTGCGGCCGGTCTCAAAAAGGACAAAAAAACCCCAAAACAAAACAAAACAAAAAAACCTAATATTTACCACCTGGGTATTTCCTAGCCACAGATAAATTCTGACTATGAGATCTTGGCTCACCAGTTTTCCTCCCTAAACCTATTTGGCAACAAATGCCATTATAGGATTCCAGTTTTGAGATCCTATGTTGCAATCCATTTGTTGGCTTTGAAGTCTCATTTGTTTGTACTCTGTTCTTCTGGACAGCATTTAGACGGATCACTTCAAGAGAAGATAAAAATTGAAACTGCTATTCATCTAGTGCTACTGCTAAGCAGCTCAAAGCTCTTGAACAAGCGTCTAGGTGATCTTCTTAAATCATTGACAGGTAAGGAGGGAGTCAGTAATGCTATGGTTCCCATTTTGTAGGTAGAAACAGGTGCATAATGCTTTACTTTCTCGTGGCTGGTAAGGAGGCCACTGAAAACAAGGTGGCCCTCAAACAACTCCAAATACATAGTTTTGGAATGCCAGAAAACAGCAGCAAGGTGGAGACCAAGTGATTTGCCTGTGAAGGTTGAAAGGGGGAGCTTGTTTTCAGTAAGTTATTGATCAGCTTTTTTTTTTCGAAGTAAGGTATTTCAAAGACTGTCCACCTGTGGATCTGAAAAAGGTGAAGGTTAATGCTGAAGGACTAGAAGGACTCCATTGAAAGGAAATAATGACTCTTTTCTTGATGTACTTTAAACTACTTGAGTTTCTTCCCTATACCCAATACAAAATTTAAACACTTAATTGTATCGATGAGCAAGGTGACTCTATTGTTCTCTCTTTGCTGAAAGCAGCAAGCAGCTGGAACTTGCAATTTGGTCCTGTGAGAGAAGAGAAAATTTGAACAGGTCATTAACTCTTATTTGTGCTAGAGGTTCCTATGTGACTTGAATTATTTATTTCTTTTTATTCCACTTTTTTTTTTTCTATCTATAAAATGGGAACAGTGTTATCCCTGACCCCTCCTTGTTACTCATGATATTTGACTGTCAGCTTAATAAAGTTTTCAGATAGCTTTGTGCTACTTGGAAGTAGAATCTAAAAGAATACTATGTGGTATTTTTATTTAGATTTAACCCATTTTCAGATTAACTACCATACATCTTTGTGTGTTTTTAATTTTCCTTTACAAATTAAAAATGCATTATTTTATATGTTTTTAACTTAATAGAATGTATAAGATGATTTCATAATTTCAAGTACCAAGGGAATATTTATTTTAACCTACTCTTACATGTTTATGGAATAATATATTACCTTGAAACTTTTTTTTAATCTAAGGCAAACTTACTTGAAGTTTTATTATTTTGAAATATTTGATTTTGTTTTAGGAAAGGGTAGGAAACTTTTTGGCAGACTTTTATCTGGTGAATGGACTTGTTTTAGAATCAAGGAAAAGAAGAGAACATCTCAGTGAAGAGGATATTCTTCGAAATAAGGCCATCATGGAGAGTTTGAGTAAAGGTGCAAACATAATGGAACAGAATTTCGAGGTATAATTTTTCTTCTCCTAATGTATTGTTTTCTGAGGAGAGAGGGGATAGACCTCATTCCTGGCATACAGTAGATTTATATAAATATACTCACAGGTTTTGTTTACTATGTATTGCCTTTTATTTTTCTGTGAATCTTCATTTTTTTTGAAATCATTGTTATGAAGAAGAAAAAGAGAAAATGGCCTTTGGTATTTTTTGTGAATCTGTGCTTGGTGTCTGAGACTTCATTAATAAATAGATTAAAAATAATCTTGTAATCATGAATCCCAGTGTTAATTTTTAATCCATGTACCTTTGCATATATTTTTCCTGCTTTACCGACCAAAATGAAATGCTGCTTTGAAGGCCAGGCTAAAGATCCATCTGTTTTATGAAGTCATCTCTATTCTGTTCCTTCCCGTAAAATTTTTTATTCAGCATGTGTTTATTGAAAGCATCCTATATATGCAAAGAATTGTACGACAATAAGGAATGGAGAAGGGAAATTAGGAAATACTAAGATATATGAGACATCATAACTGCTCTTACAATCTTATTTCCTAATAAGATGAATCAGATGGATTCTTAAATTTATTTTTTATTTTGGCAATTTTAAATTTGCAAAAAAGTACTAGAACAGTACAAAGAATTCCTGGATGCCCTTCATCAAGATTCCCCAAATGTTAACATTTTACTACATTTGTATAGCACTTTTTTTCAAACTGTAGGATAGAGAACCCTTAGTAGATTACAAAATTAATTTAGTGAGCCATGACCACCTTTTTAAAAAAAGTTAGTATCTAAATAAAAATGATAGCAAAAAACCAGAGCACATCACACATAATAAGGGTCATCACTCCCTCATGAAACAATAGTTTCAAGGGTGTATGTGTTGTGTAAACATGTATATGTGTGAATGCGGGATTGTAGTATAAACTTGAGTCATAGCCATACAAAGATTAAAGGCTACTACAGGGAAGCTTGAATTCTTTGAATGTTTAGTCGCTCCCCTATGGTATTATGCCAGATTGGTTTAGAGATGGACAAACTTTCCAGAATAGTATGATTGGTTCTAACTAATTCATGTAATACTGTATGTTCCAGGAAAATATTTTAATATTTAGAAAGTGCATGTACTAAGTGAATCAACCACAGTTTAGTTAAGTGAGTACAACAGTACATTAAGTGTTTAAGTTAAAATTGTTGATCATGTCAATTTAGTGTGATCCTATCTCCTTCTCACCAGATTTTATTTGTGCTCCTCAGTTTTCTTCTGACCTTGAGATAGAGCCTTATCTGACTTCATTTTCCAGAAACCTCTTGGTATTTCCTGATTTGTTGGTCAGAAGGAGATGTAGGACATGATGTACTCAGGAAATAGAAATGGAGATGAATTGATATAGGGAATGCTAAGCTCAATCTTTGACAAAGCTGCTGTTGTCTCCCATTGTTGACCAGACAAAAATGTCATGTTTTTGGACTTTTATCGTGATATAAATTTTATTAGAGTTCTTTTTAAAAGTATGATTTTGTTGTGGTGGTGGTTATTGTTACCTTTGCTTAATTTTTGCAGCAAACCATTTTGGGGTGAATACATAGAAATAGACCTTACAGAATAGCATTTTATGACCATTTGCCCGTTATCTCTGATTGTCTGATTTATGCATATTTAAGCTTAAAATAGACAATTTGGGCAGAGATTGGACAGAGATTGTAATTGTAACATGATGGATTTGAATTGCTAAAGGGGTCTTTAAACAGCACTGTAAGCAGGTATAATTTTGCAAATTAAAATTAGGGCTGGCCAGTTAGCTCAGTTGGTTACATATGGCCTCGTGACACTAAGGTCAGGTGTTTGGTTGCCTGTACTGGCTAGCCATCCCCCAAAAAGAAATTAAAACATCAGTTTAATGCCAGATAGGTATGTACAGAACAGACTAATATAAACAAATTAAATAATTAAGCTTTCAACTACTGATCCAAAATTAAAGGAAGCAGCTCCCATGTGAACCTTAGAACCTTGAACTTTATAGTTCTTGATATTTAAATTCAATTTGTCAGTTTCTACAATAGATAAAAAACTTGGTGGGATTTGGATTAGGATGATGTTGAATCTGCAGATAAATCAATTTCTACATAAAAGCCTTCTTGGTTTTTTTAAAAATTGAACTTTGTATTTTGAGATAGTTCACTTGTAATTGTAACAAATAATACAGAGAGATTCCACGTATGCCTCACCCAGTTTTCCCCAATGTAACATCTTGCAAAACAGTAGTACAAGGTTGATCCAACATACGCAAGTCAGTAAATATGATACGCATATCAACAAAATCAAGGAGCACACCATGTGATTGTCTCAATAGATTCAGAAAAAGCATTCAACAAAATTCCCTTCTTGATAAAGACTTTCAGCACATTAATTATAGAAGGAAATTATCCCAACACAATAAAAGCCATTTATGACAAACCAATTGCCAATATCATTCTGAATGGGACAGGAACATGACAAAGGATGCCCACTCTCACTACTCCTATTTACCATAGTATTGGAAGTACTAGCCAGAGAATCAGGCAAGAGAAAAAAATAAAGTACATCCAGATTGGAAAAGGACAAAGTCAAATTGTCCTTATTTGCAGACAACATGATCTTATATTTAGAAAAACCTATAAACTCTACCAAAAAACTCTGAGAGCTGATTTAGCAATTTCAGTAATGTCTCAGGATACAAAATCAACAACCCCAAATCAGTAGCGTTCTTATACTCCAGTAACAAACTAGCAGAAAAAGAAATCAAGAAAGCAAGCCAATTTACAATAGTCACCTAAAACATAAAATACCTAGGAATCAATTCAACCAAGAGGTGAAAGATTTCTACAGTAAGAACAAGAAAATATTACTGAAAGAAATTAAAGAGGACACAAAAAGGTGTATATGCTTTTGGATTGGAGGAATTAACATTGTTAAAATGTCCATTCCACCCAAAGCAGTCTACAGATTCAATGCAATCCCCATCAAAATATAAATAACATTCTTCATAGAAACAGAAAAAGCAATCCTAACATTCATATGGAACAACAAAAGACCATGAATAGTGAAAGCGATCCTGAGCAAAATAAATAAAGAGAAAGAAAGAAAGAAAGAAAGCTGGAGGTATAACACTACCTGACTTCAATTTATATTACAAAGCTATAGTAACCAAAACAGCATGGTACTGGCACAAAAACAGTCACTCAGATCAGTGGAACAGAATAGGAAATCTGGGAATCAGCCCACATACTTATAGCTAACTGACATTTGACAAAGGCAACAAGAACATACACTGGGGAAAAGACTGCCTCTTCAATAAATAGTGCTGGGAAAATTGGACTCCTGTATGCAGAAGAATGAAACTGGACCTGTACCTCTCACCATATACCATAATCAACTCAAAATGGATTAGAGACTTAAATATAAGATCCCAAACCATAAAATTACTAAAAGAAAACATAGGGGAAACACTCCAGGAAGTAGGACTGGGTAAAGACTTTATGAATAAGACTCCAAAGGCACAAGCAACAGAAGAAAAAAATAAACAAATGGGATTATATCAAACTAAAAAGCTTCTGCACAGCAAAGGAAACAATCACCAGAGCAGAAGGACAACCTACGGAATGGGAGAAAATATTTGCAAACTGTACATCTGACAAGGGATTAATTATCCAGAATATACAAAGAACTCAGACAAGTATACAGTAAAAAACCAAATAATCCAATGAAAAAATGGGTAGAGGAGCTGAATAGACATTTTTCAAAGGAAGACGTACAAATGGCCAGCAGTTACATGAAAAAATACTCAGCATCAACTAGTTATCAGAGAAATGCAAATCAAAACCACATTGAGATATCATCTCACCCCAGTTAGACTCATCATTATTAAAAAGACCGAGAATAACAAATGCTGGTGAGGATGTGGGGAAAGAGGAACTCTTCTACACTGTTGCTGGGACTGTAAATTAGCATAACGTTATGGAAAATGATACAGCGATTCCTCAAACAACTACAGGTAGAACTACCATATGATAATAGCAGTCCCGCTACTGGATATATATCCAAAGGAATGGAAATCATCATGTCAAAGGGATATCTGCATTCTCATGTTCATTGCAGCTCTATTTACAATAGCCAAAATATGGAACCAACCTAAGTGTCCATCAACGGATGACTGGGTAAGGAAAATGTGGTATATATACACAATGGAATACTACTCAGCCATTGAAATTCTGCCATTTGCAGCAACATGGAAGAGTTTGGAGAAAGTTATGTTAAGTGAAATAAGGTAGACAAGGAAAGAAAAATATGTCATGTTCTCACTTATAACTGGATGCTAAGAAAGAAAGAAAAAGAAGATCACAACAAACCACTAATCTGTTCCTTCATTTCTTTAATGTTATTATTTCAAAGATATTCTATAAATAGAATCATATAGTACGTAACTTTTTGAAACTGGCTTTTATTTTTTCACCCAGCTTAATTCCTTAGTCATTCTTCCAAGTCGTGGGTATCAATGGTGTGTTCCTTTTATTGCTGAGTAGTGTTCCATGGTATCAATGCACCATAGCTTGCTTAACCATTCATCTGTTGAAGAACATCTGGATTGTTTACCTTTTTTGGCCTTTTTGGGTTATGCTGCCATTAACATTCATGTACTTTTTTCTGTAAATGAAGGTCTTCATTTCTTTGGGATAAATGCCCAAGAGTGCAGTTGATGTGTTATATGGAAGTTGAATGTTTTTTTAAGAAACTGCCAAAATGTTTTCCATTTTACATTCCCACCAGAAATATAAGGATGATCTAGTGTTTCTTCATCTTTGTCAGCATTTGGTATTGGCATTGTTTTCTGTTTTACCCATTCTTATAGTTTATAATGCTATTTTATTGTGATTTTAACTGCATTTTTCTAATGGCTAATGATACCGAATGTTCATTTTTCATGCGCTTATTTGCCACTTGTATATCCTCTTCAGTGACATGTCTCTTC